GAGAAAGAGGGACAGGCGCTGCTCTGCTACAGACAGAGGGGATTCAGAGGGACCCTGCAAAGATGCCCGCAGCCCACGGGGCTCTGTCTGAGCGCACAAAAGCCGCACACAAAGCACTCTGATTCATGCTGGATGCACACAGACACGCACAAGCAACCGAGTGAAAAGCCTTCTCTACATTGTTTCCAAACAATATCAGTACAGCTCACACGTCAGCCGGGCCGCCGCACACTTGGTACTTACAAGAGGGTTTGCTGGATCCGTCTGCTGCCGGAGCTGGGATGGGGCGATTGCGACTTGCAGGGAAAGGTGCATGGAGATGTGCAGAGAGGCGAGAGCGATGGGAAGAAGGGCCCCAGCCCTTCTTCGGGCCCCAGAGCAGCAACACTTGCTCACGGGATGGAGCGCAAAAAGGCTGGCATTCCTACAGCAGCAAGGACAATGGGGAGGGATGAGGAGGCACTGCCATAATCAAATGCAGGCCAGCTGGCCCTCCCCCAGGAAGGGCAGGCACCTCCTTCACTTGCCAAAGGCTTTGTTTTCTAAGCCACAAAGAACAAAGTGGCTGAGGAGGAGAGCACAGGAGAACCCACTGTGGGGGCAGATCCACCTATGAGCACAGGTAACCCATTCCTGGAGATGAAAACACAGATGGAGAGGGGTTGGGCAATATTCTGCCCACTCCATTCAGAAGTCAGAAGCAGCAGCTCCTTGTGGACAGCAGAAAAAAGACAGACAACTGAGGAACAAGAATCAGCAGAGGCTGATGGTGAGGGGTCCTTTGAGAGAAAAGATCCAAGGAAGGCAGACAGAGAACATCACTAAAGGAATAGCTTGTGGAACACAGCCTCAAGAAATCCCACTATGAAAAACCCTACCATTTCTCAACCTGCCTTGCTCCACCAATTCTGAGCAGTGAGAACTGAAGCTGAACAGCTTCCCTCAGAAAGCAAACATAAAGGCAAGAGCTCAAGCTGCAAGAGACCCAGAAGCTATGGCAGGGCAATGACCATACTTTCCCTGAGCACCAATGAGGCATCATCTTGCACAACATCCTGAGAAGCAGGAAAAAGCCCCTGGAGCTGCCTCAGGCCCTCCTGTAATGATACAGGCAGGTCAGCTCTGGGCACCACATCACCACACGGCCACGGGGTATGCAGGTGCTGAGCCTGCAGTAGGATGCTGCCTGTTCTGGTTGGGTCAGTGCTTTCTTCCACTTGTGCCAGCGAGGATCATGCACCTTCACTCCCGATCTTCAGCAGGATTGGTCATCCCAGGCCTGACAGAGACTGTCCTGTGTTCTCTGGTTTACTGGACATGCTGCTGCAAGTAAGGTGCTCAGTCCTGATAGAGTGCACAGCTCTCACATGGGCCATGTCAAACCTGCCGTCCAGGTAAATTGCAATTCAATTATGGTAAAGTCAACAACATGGTATATAAGAGTATTCTGGGAAATAATTCACCCAGAGATAGCATGAGGAAGGAAAAAATATGAAGGCTAATGAGATAAAGAAGGAGAGGAAGACTTGCTGTAGCTGTTCCTGGTCTTGATGGTGTACTCATGGCAGTGTTATGGTGAAGCCAGGATAGAGAGCAGGAGAAAAGGATACTGGCAACTGTCCTTGCAGGACCCCCAGAATAAAACAGACATCAATGCTTTTGGTACATCATACATACCCTTGCTTGTTCAGCTGCCCAGTTTTACCCCAAAGCACTGTATGGTGCCAGATCCCAACACAGTCTTGGAACTGAGTAAACAAGGGATAGTGGCCAAACCAGGCTTCAAGCCACAGGGAGATGGCAGGTCCCCGAATATGCCCACACTGACTTTGTGGTACAGAAAAACAATCCTCCAGCCCACAGTCAGAGGTGGGGAAAGCAGCTTCCTTCACTGTCCCTTCTGCCTCAGCCCAGCCATCATCCACCCCCTGCCAGGCACCAAGGGCTCCTGCCGCAAAGGAAGCGGGGACAAATGGAAACATCCAGCTTGGCACCAGTCACGTCTTTGGGAAGGGAACCCTGCCAGCCCATGTGCAAGCTCCCTGTGGTCTGGCCCAGCTCAGCCTGCCTCATTGCAAGGAGCTCTGACAGGCCTTCAGGAACTGCCAAACAGTGAAAAAACAAAGCATCTTGATGGGGCATATGGGGTTATGCTGTCCTGTCCCACAGCCTGTCTGGCTGTGCCCTACAAAACACTGGCCCACCACATGCAGGAGGGCCAGCACAGCAGAGCCTCCCATTCCCAGTAGGCAGCGAGGTACGTGAGGGATGAACACTGTGATCCTCTTGGTGCATGCTGAGATGTTTGGAGATTTGAGCTTGCCAGCTCATTACCATAGTGTACATTGCTTACGCATCCTTGGGCTTCTTCCCCAAATCCTGGGGTTTGGCACTCTGCAGGCTCTTTACGAGAAGGAAAATCAAGGACATTGCTTATTGTAGACTCCTGCTCCTGCTGTATCCCCTCAGATATTAGGGAAGAGAGAGGGGAGTTAGGCAGGCACTGACAAGATCACTGCAGGAAGGTCAAAAGCAGCTCAGTATCAGAAGACAGTGAAATCAGTTTAGATAAAATCTTCTGCTTATCCCCCACCTCCCAGACCATGCCACTAACTTTGCTTTGGGAAGGCAGAAAGCATTCTGGAGATCAAGATCAAACTCATAGGCACTGAAAGAACTTTCATGCTGTGCAGCAATTTCTGCACTGATCCTACAGCTGCAGGATGTATCCCCCTACACTCCTGGTTTCGGTTGGCCACTGATTCACAATGTACACATGGTGTATTTACACCACCAGAATTGTTTATAGCTCTACTGAAACCAGTGAGATCAAAATCCTCCTCCCTCCCTGGGCCAGCTGCCTCTCCTCCACACAAAGCAGTGTTAAACACACTGTGCCACTATCATGTCCTTTTCACTGGGGCTGTGCAGCATGAAAGGCACAACCAAGAGGGCTGCTGCTGCCAAGGACTGCACCCTGGAGTTTTTATCCACCAAAAAGAAGCTGCAATGACCTCAGAAAAGAAATGGGCCACCGTTGGGGTCTATGTAGCATTTGTGTTCCTAGAAATGACCCAGGCTCTGAAAAGGCTTTGGAGGAACATACTTCTACAGAGTCACATCCAACTCTCCTGGCAGCCTAGGAGCTACCAGCACAATGTAATTTCGATGCCTGAACAGAGCACTGAGCAGGCTGGAAACTTTGGGGAGACCTTAGAACACCTTGCAGAACCTGAAGGGGCTCCAAGAGAGCTGGAGAGGGACTCTGGACAAGGGCATGGAGTGAAACAACAAGAGTATAGCTTCAAACTGACAGAGGGCAGGATTAGATTGGATATTAGAATGGAATTCTTCCCTGTGAAGGTGGCGAGGCCCTGGCACAGGTTGTCCAGAGAAACTATGGTTGCCCCATCCCTGTAAGTGTTCAACACCAGAATGGGGGCTTGTAGCAACCTGGTCTAGTGGGGAGCATCCTTGCCTGTAGCAAGGAAGTTGGAACTGGATGATTCATTTAAAATCCCTTCAAGCTCAAACCATTGTATGGTTCTATGATCACGTGCTGCAGTCCACATTTGAACTCCAGACACTTCCAGCTCTGGCTGGAAGGGTTCACATATAACCAATGTTTGGCTTGGCTGCAGAACTGTCAATATGCCAAACAAGGCTTGGTGCTTTTGTAGGCCTCAATTTATCAGAAGAAACATGAGAAAACCCTTCCCAGGATCTCCCATGATGGCAAGGGGTGCTCAAGTACCAGAGCAGCCCCTGAACATCTCCGTTCAGTGAGGTAGAAAAGCACAGGTTCTTCCCATTCTCCTATGCCATGGGAGGCACTTCTCTCTCCATTGGGGTGAAAAAAAATTTACACATTTCCACAGCAAAAGGGTCCCCCACCTGCACAGCAAACTGCAGAGATGAGCCAAAGAAGACCTGCAGAGCACCACCAAACAAACTCAATCCTCATTGCCCAGACAGCAGTGTTCTGAGCTGCCTTCTCCACTTTCCTGCCACACACAGGATGCTTTTCCATGTTTTCACGTTTAGCTGAATTTCCTCCCTCCTTCCCTGAGCACTTCTGGCTGCCAAGGCAGCTCAGAGACAGCAACTAAGTGGCACCTACATCTGTTCCAGCTTAACTTTTAGAATCTATTCTTTCTGGAATTTGAGAACTTCAATACCCAATGTTTGTACAAGTGTGGAATAAATGGAGCACAGGCTCTCTGGCCCTCTGTTCTTGCCAAAGCTGTGTTTTAAAACGCACTCAGAAAATCCTACTGCTTATTCATCTGCAACTTTAGAAATTAAAGAACACCAAATCCAACTGCAGATCTGCTAAATGGGTGCATTTGCACTAAACCAAACAGGTGGGAAGGTCAGGCATTCAGCACAGTCACCACACACAACCTCTCCTCCTGGTTCCCAGATCCTGTGATGATCCAGGGATCCCTCATTCCCTCAGCCACATTTCTTAGTTCTCCATTCTGGTGCTCCCTTTCCTCATGCAGGCCTCCACATGGGAGGAGCTGGGCTGTATTTAGGACTGAAGAGCAGGGTGCTACTCCTGATGGGTCAACAGGCTGAATTTGCCAGTGTGTAAGGATATAGCATGAAAATGCAGGCAGCCTACCCTGGCATGGTGGCCAAGACTGGATCCAATCAGCCCATCTCTTGGCCCTTGTCATCAAAGCCAGCACTGCCATAATCTTCTGTCCACTGTGGCCATGAAAGGGGTTAAAAAGCTCCAGCTCAGAGAGCAGAAAACCTCTATGCTTAACAGATGTGGACATTTTCTGAAAGACACACCCACCCCTTCTCCCACATACTGACTTGAAAAAAATCACTGCAGACACATGAGCATGAGGGGACTGCTGCATGTTACAGATCTAGCTCCCTGATGGAGCAAATACTACATTTCACACCTTTCATAAATAATCTAGCACTGGACTGAGTCCAAGCAGACTTTTTATACCTTCCTCTGTGCAGCAGATGGCTTGTCTTACCTTGTCAAAGAATTCATACAGCCTGACTGTTTCACAGACTCGGTGCCTTGTTTCATCCAGCTGGGTGCAGAACTCCTCCAGCTGATCTTCGTAGGTCTGCAGCTTTACCCTATAAGAATGTACATCCACAAAGGAAAAGTCTTCCCATTGATTCATCTTCTTTAATGCTTCTTGTCCTCTTTTGCAATATTCCTGAAAACAAAAAGGAATTTCTTATGAGGACAGAGACCTGGAATCAACAGTAAGTAGTCTTCAAGGTCACTAATAGCTAGGGCTAATTAGACCAGTTTTTAAGGTTCAAATCACATAAGCAGGGTGTCTTTGTCTACAGTAGAATTCTGGAGCCTGATCTCTTACAATTTACACTCATCACATAGCAGCTTGTAAAGCCCTACACAGCAAGACTATGGCTCAATTAGGATCATAAAAGGCAATGTTATAAGCACATCAAAAGAGGAACAAAAAAATCCATCTTTCATTCCAGTAGTTATTTTCCCCAAGACTGGTAAATGCCATCTACTAAGTGCTGAGCTAGTGGCTTTGTCTGCAAAAGCAGAGCAGGGATACTATGCAGCAGAATGGAATGACACACACCTTGGTGATGAACCCTCTTAGCATCATGCATTTGGCTGAGCACATACAAGACACACATGCTACCAACTCAGATGCTGGACAATATAATTTTCCAATCCAACAACACTTACACTGGCAACAAGATCAAACTCTTTGAACTGCTTTTGTGCTTGAAGCAGCATCTCCAAAGAATCATCCAGGTTGACAGTTTCCTTTAGCCGTTTTCTGCCAACATTCTCAATCCAACTGCTGACCTAGAAGAAAAGGGATAAGCCTCGCTTGTTAGTCACCCTGTGCTACTCACCAACATAGGCCTTTATGTGGAAAGAGCAAGGAACTGCTCTCATAATGCTGGTCATTTCATTACTGGAAAGAATGTGTGTAGACTTCTTCCCCCCATTCTGGCATTTCAGTCTGAGCCTCCTGCTAAGAGTTTTTCCACTTCAGGTTACAGAGTAATTGAAAAGCTCTGCCTGCTATTGCTCACTAGCCTCAGGCATAAACAGGGCAAGTGGCTGCCTGGGCTCTGTTTTGGGGTGAGCCATGGTCTAAGGCAAGCTCTACAACAGACTGGCCTGACGTTCCTGTTATTGTTACCCCTAACTGGGATCAAATCTCCTTGCTGCCAGATTTCCTACATTACTTCCCTTTTCTGACTGGCAGGACATGAACTATGTCAGTGTGAATGTATTGATAAATTCTCCCCATCTGCAATGTTTCATGGTTCTCTGGGACTCTCAGCCACTGTTTTTTTGAAGACAGCTCTCCACAAATCTGAGCAGTAACTGTGTGTTCCTCAGTGGAGCTCAGCTACTGCTGCAGTTATCAGCCCATATCCTCGAAGACAGGCAGAGGACTGACTAACAACAGCATCCTAAGAGCAAAGCAGTCATAGGAGGCCAGGCAGGATAACACAGCATCTCCATCATCACTAGGTTTTAAAAACAGGCTGGTAAACTTGTCTGCAATGCTCCAGGCAAAGGTGCACCTGAGGGAAGGGACAGACTAAGTGCTTCCTAACGCCTACACATCCTGTTTTCTCTGTCACCTGAATCCATATCCCAACTCGACCCCATAGTCAAGGACAAATTCCTAGTTTTGCAGACTGTGAGAAGGTTACAAGGAGCAAGCTCACTGGCAAAAGGAAGAGATGGTGGTGGGTTCTCAGTACCACAGAGGGGCACACTGCTGCTGCCTAGAGCTCCCAGGCAGGCTTAACAGCAGGAGCAGCTGCTGCCATCATTGGAGATCTGCAAGCAAAGTAAGCCAGGAGCATTTGAGTATTACTCAATTCAACAAAAAAGTTCAGCTTAAAGCAGAAACAGGTTCCAGTGCTTGCTTTCGTGCATTTTTCATTTGGTATTAAGAACCTGTGTGTTTAACAAGAATCTCTACCAGGTTCTTGCAACACACTTCTTGTCCTGAACACATCCTGCATGGCGTCCAAGTGTCTACCTCCAAATGGGAAGTCATTAAAAACTCCCAGATCCACCTTGGCCTGTGAAAACACTAGGTAGGCTACAGCCTCCTTTGCAAATCCAGTTCCCACTAGAGGAGAGGAGCTCAGAATGCCAGAGGAACAATGGTGAAACTGATCCTAAGACTGATTTTTAAGGACACATAAGCTTCTCATTGTTGACAAGTTACAGGACAGGAGACCATGCAATTCCATGATCTCGAGGTTGAGTTCAGGCTTAGAGATCTGCAATATGGAACATCTAGGATCTGCAACACTGAAAGGACTGATCAGCTCTTGTAGGATGCTCAGATCTGAGCTGCTTTATGACTTTTTGAGGTCCTCTGTCAACATGGTTACAGGTTTCAAAGGTCTTTCTGAAAGCCAGCGCCTATTTGCTTCAGTTATCCCATGGCTGTCAGGAGTTTCAACAAGCATTAAATGAAGGGAAGTTGATGGTTCTACAGAAGTGCAGGGATTGGGAGGCTGAGCATGGCTCTTGGGCTAGGGACAAGAGGCTGTTCCCTTCCTGGAGTCCATGTAGAGGGCTGCACCCAAAGGCAAACCGAGTGTGCTTGGTGCTGCACCCAGAAGGGAAGGAGTGTGCTTGGACTTATCAGACGTCAGGGACCTGAGAACAGTAGTACAGGAATCTAAACAACAGACTACATGACAGGGATGGGCAGCCAGTGTGGGGCAGGGATATTCAGCAACAGGATGCCAGCAAACCCTGCAGGAGCTACAGCCCAAACGAGACACACAGACTTATTATCAGCTTGTTGTCATCGCTCTGCTGGTTCTCAAGGTGAAGTATGAAGAATGCCTCATCAACAGTCTCGCTGAGAGGGTCCAAAAAGACACCCAGCCTCCAAGTGCACTGGTTACCTATGAGCCACTTCACAGATGGGGTTTGACTGATCCACACCTAGAGAGAAGTCAGGAGACTTTCACCTGGCATCAAGAGATACCAGGGAAATAAGTGACTTGATTCTCAGCACTGCTGAAACTCTATCTCAAATTCTTATGTTCAGTTGTTCTTTTTATGCATCAAGCATCATTGTACACATTCACACAACGATCAACAGGCCCAGTACCTGCTGTGGAACACACAGTCAGAGGGCAGCAGTCACTGGAACTGACAGGTAGGCCTTACCTCCTTAAAACACTCTTCCACTTTCTCAAACTCCATCACCAGCTCCAGTTCCTGGATGCGCTTGTTTGACAGCATCACCAGTCGGTGAACGCCCTCATCAACTTGATTATAAAGCACGCTGGCAGCATCGAGAGCATCTCTGCAAAGGGACACAGGTCTGGTCAAGGGTTTTGCATTAGGTCCTTCCCCCAGCACTTCATGCAAATACAACCTGGCCAACAACTGCACTCCAGTCATCCTCCCCGTGGGACCCACACTAGCCATCTCCATATGGAGAACAGAAGAGAATACTGCTGCTCCTTGCACATTACCATGATTCACCACTCTGACCCCAAATAACCTGACAGGAAGGACAAGAGCATCTCCTCCCAGCCAGGCTCCTTGCAAGACATATTGTATTTCTCACACACACTTTCAGTTTTTCATAAACATAGATTGTTGCATCAATGGATTTTCACAAAACACAGGGTCAAGCAGTTTCAGCATCTAAAACCATCATTTGAATTTAATTAGGTAAATAAGCCACCACTAACAAGCAAATCTCTCCTGAGTGACAACAACAGTATTAAGTGCCTGGTGCCCCACTTACTCTCAGGATTTCCACCAGCCAAACAAAAATGCAAAGTGTGCAACAACTCAGTGCCAGGAGAAACCAGATTTTACAGTGTTATATTGAAGAGATTAATAGACTGAGCTCCCTACCTTCCACAGGCAGCCATGCTGACCAAAGCCCAGCAGGCACTCTCCCTGACAGCCTGCCCACAGCACACAGGCAAGCATGGAGGGGTCCAGGATGGAGCTCAGTACCCTCAGATGCTGCAACCATGGTCTTGGCAAGTTGATGAGTATTAGCAAGCTCCTTTCAGATGTGTGTAACACCTCTCCAGCACAGGCTTGGGTAAATTACAGATGGGATCCAGGAGACAGAAAAGCATTCAAGCTTATTCTTCTTGTATTTCTTCTACTTCTAGATTTCCCCCGCTGCAATGGGCTCAAGAGACAGCTACAAAAAAACACTACAGCCTCCTTCAGCTGTGCTCTACACTGGCATGTTCAGCTGCCTGGTCATCTCCTGTACCTAAACCAATTTTCCTTTCATTGTCTTACAACCTTTTGACTTATTAGAGTGTGGCTTTTTTATCATATTATTAAAATTATCTAAAGCAGTTGCAAAATAGGTAGCTAATATTGCTAATGGAATATAATTCAAAACAGTTCAGCACACGTTTATTTCTGTCTGGGTTTACAGGCAATCTTGAACCTGTGAAATGTGACCAAATATGAGCCTTTAGCAGCAGCCATCCTGTAGTTTTAATTGACACGAGGTAGCGCCATAGGTCTGGACAACTAGCTCTGCATAGCAGAAATCCACACTATTTTTCCATTCAGAATTCCACCCAGTGTGCAACAGCCAACTTCTCAAACCTCAGGCTCTTAGATACTTTTGTTTTTCCTCTTTGAAATGCCATTAGACTAAATGAATTTCTCCAAAGTGCAGCCAAAAATATCCAAATAGTTTCTGGACTAAGATCAGTGCTACTGCAGTGCAGAGCAGACAGGTTCTCCACAGAGAATCTGCAGGCTTCAATGGAAAGATCTGAGCTGTAGCACTGCCCTGGAGTTTCCCAAAACCGCCATAAACAAACCGTGATGATATGAGCCTTCTGTTTTGTAATCCTTTCCTACGGACAGGCCCAGATCCAACCCAGAAAACTCACAGCAGCAGAGTCATAATCATTGTCCAAGCTGAGCTCTGGAAAGTGTTTACAGAGCAGGTTGTGGAGGCCAGTTCCCGTCAGCAGCAGTGACACAGCTGGGACAGCTAATGAGAAACAGTTTGGACGATGGCTGCAAGTTAAATTTGGCAACACCATTAATGCTGCTCAGTTTTGTGCAGCAGAGCGTATCTGTCAAGTCCCCTTTTCTGAGTAAGTCTCCAGCATACTGATGGCCAGACAGGCAGACAACCTTCAGCCTCACTCCCACAGGGCTGAAATCCCTGCTGGCATGAATGCTCTCACCCACTCAGGAAAACACATGGATACAGCAAACACTCTTCCTCCCGCTGGCACGGACAATCGAGCACCTATAACTTCAGGCATTCCATGCTGTTATATGCAAACATTTTCAATTACCCCCTCATGCGACAAAATATTTTTCCAACCTTTCCCTGAGCTTCCATGGAAATCACTCTGGTGTTGATGTTACTTCTTTGATGGCACTCATCAACAAGCCAGATTGACCTGCTAGACCTTTCTGTAATAGGAGTCCTTACATCCACCCAAGCCAGTGACAAAGCGAGCAACCACGGCTTCTGCACTTCACACGTATGGTCAGATGGCAACCTGATGGCACAGGGACCTGGGACAAGGGCTCCAGCTCTAGCACTGCCTGGCCTAGCACAGAGTATGATCTGACATGGGGACAGAAGCCAGGAAGTCCCACTCTGCCCCTTCCCATACCTGACAGAGGAAATAACCCCCCGTTGTTTTATGTCTGAGTAGTTTTTGTTGACTGGAGTCAGTAGCAACCTGGGCTGCAAGGCCTAACAAATATTACAGATTCCAGCAGAGCAGACAGCATATTTCCCAAAGTTACAAAACACAGGCCTTCCTGAAGACAACACTGAAACTATGGGGAGGGGAAAAATTACCCTCAAGGCAGAGCAATAGGAAATGATTATTTTAAAAAGCTAGCAAAACCCACATTCCAATTTTTTTTTTAACCAGAAATAGGCATACTACAAGGTCACTGTATAAAGAGGCCAATTCACTGTGCCATTGTGGAAAAGACCAGTCTCTTGGAGCCTACTTGAGACCAGTGCTTGCCTTACAACCAGCAAATCACTCCAGGAAAATTCAGGTTCAAAACTGCAGCAATAGAGTACTCCCGCTGGCCCACCAACTAAAGTCCAAGGAATTCATTTCAGGAGAAGGGGCGTGAGTAACTAAACTAAAGAACTGAGAAAAATCCACCCCAAACAACACTTCTGGCCCCACACATTCCTTCCACAAAAGGAGTTATCCTGCCTGTGAAGATCTCAGTCCAACCAAGCCTTTATGTGCATTTGCAGAAGGTGGAAGGGAGTCCCAGTTTAGAAGTGAGCCCTTTGCCCCACTGGATATAATAATAAAATACATACCTTGGTAAATAATGCAGCAGCTACAGACGTACAGAATGTACACATCTATGCACATCAGCCATATTCCCTCCATCTCAGCTGATTCAATGGTACTAAAAGTGACATCCTGTCACTGAAGACACACAGAAAACCTTTGCTTTACTGATCCACAAGCATCTCAAACTTACCTGAAGTCAGTCTAGGAGGCATTTAGGAGTTTATGCTATAGGCAGGGACTAGATGGGGAATTCAGTTCAGAAGAAGGCTGGGAATTAACTCTTATCAGTAAGTTGGGCTGTTTGGGGTTATATAAGCCAAAATCCCTTACTCTTGTCATTTAAGTCATTTTTTTCCTCTGTGAATGCTTGCAGCAGGCTATTGATGCCCTTATCAGCCACAATTCAACACTCTAAGGCTGCTCCTTCTCATGGTCCTGCCAATGATTTCCTGAGCGACTGCAAACAACACGCACAGAAAAAATATTTCTGAACAGCTCCTCTGGGCTCAGAGTCCCCAAACAACTTCAGGTGTGGCCTCACACCATTCCTGCTCCTCTGTGAGTTCCTCCAGCACTCCAGCTCTTTGTTCCAAGGACCAGCCACGCTGTTTTCACACGTTCTGCCTCGCTTGGCAGGCATTCATTAAAACCTCAACATCTAGTTGTTGGTCTTCTGTTACATCTCCAAGGTAACTCCATTCATACGTTGTCAGCCCCTGACAGTTCACTTTTACCAGCTGGACAGGCTCTCTGACTAACATCCATCTTTTACTCTCTTACACAGAGGAAAATATAAGCCTCTCCATGCTGTAGCATAAAGTAGGTAGGCAAAATGAGTCAAACAAAGAAACTGCTCACAGTCCATGGGAAAGTTTGTTTTTTCGATTCACTTGGGCACTTCAGTGCTCACAGAGAGGACCCACTGGGCATTAAGCCTGTTCTCCCAAACCTCTGTACATCTGTTTATCTATTTACACACCCACACACCCCCATTTGCTGATCTAGATCTTAAAAACTTCCTAAATGATTTCCAGTACACTAGTAAACAGAGTTTTATGGGGAAAATGATACTTCACACAAATATCTATTCCTTTTTCAGCTTCAGACTTAGAAGTTTTTAATTCCTGTCCCTCAGTACCTTCATGGCAGCTTGGAGTAAACAAACCAAATATTGAAAATTTGGTTGAAGAAAAAAGTGACTTCCATCCTGGCACACAAAGGAAACACCTGGTTGTTAAGGACTTTAAAGGTTATTTTAATAGTGGCCTGTGCAACTCTGAGCACAAAAGGTAGAGTTGTTTGAAGTCAGTGGAAAGTCTCAGCTCAGCTCAGATTTGTGTGGATGCATTGCAATTTCCCTGCACATGGGAGTGTGGTAATAAGAGTCTTTCACTACATTCTTCCATGGTCAAATCATCAAAAGCAATTTTGCAATAGTGCAGAGTCAATATAATTTATAGCAAAAAGGAGTAGCTTGATGTCAGTTTATGTTTCCCCAAATCCTGTTTTCATTGGGCAATTATTATTTCAATGGAAAAGGTTCCAAACATCTTCAGTTTTCTGGAGAAGTGCCAAGCTGTTGTATAATGGTAGGGTAATTTTAAACCTATAATTTAGAAAGACCATTTTTGTCTGAATCCATTCTTCAAAAAAAAAGCCAGCCTTGGAGAGTTACACTTTACTTTTCTAAGCAAAAATAACCTGTTTTGCTTTCAAAAAATAGATGGCCATATAAGAAACATGCAGCAGAGTCACAGAAGCAGGTACTGCCTGAGCCATGCCTACCCATGTCTGTGAGATGCAAACAGGAGAGCACAGGGAAGGGTGCAGCAGAACCATCACTATTCTGCACCTTCCTGTCTGCCCCTTCAAGAAGTGCTTTGACAAACAGCAAAAACAGCAGATCTAACAAAAGGACTGGGATCAAGAGTTCATCCTCTGACCAGTCTTGGTCAATTTCAAAACCGCAAAAATTCATGGATGGAAGGAAATACTACATTTTGGTAGTGTATGCGATGAG